ATGTACAAAACGTTTCGTTTTGATCTTTGTAATGTATCTTTCTATTGTAGTATTTTTGTCATTCAATATCGCACCTTATCTCCGGCATGTTTTAACCAGTTTTTTATGTATTTGATTATCGATAATGGTGCAATCTTTGCCTTTAATATAATATGACTCACAATCCCTACACATAATATGTACATATTTACAGTAATAGATGACTTTTAGTTAAAATAAGTAATTCTATTTATACAAGGTGTTTCAAACTCAATGCATCATGTCAGATTTCTAAAGTTACTTTGAGATGAAAATTCTACAATATATCAAAATATCTAGGTTAAATACTTTTTTTTACATAATAACTATCAATAATTAAAAATATCAGTAATTTTATTCTCACCTAAGTAATATTTATATCAATATTAATAGGAGGCAACTATTAACTTTTATTTTTAGCATTTTGCGTTGTACCATATCTGAACGCGTAAATTTTAAACGATATAACTAGGTAGCTTTAAATGACTATAATTCAAAAATTATTATAGTCACAACATTTTGGAATTAGAATTTTCATTTGAAAATGACTTCAGGAATCTGCCATTAGCAGATGGTACGTCGAATCTGAAATACCCTATATATAAACAAATATAGTAATATTTTTTAAAAATCATTAACAAAGTATAATTCTTATACATCACATTAAATGACAATACACATTTTTGTATGTGCATTGAGAGGATTCCGTTAGCACACATTCACTCATATCGACCAGTGCCTAATTTTTCACCACTTATAAGAATTTCAGTTTAAATTGACCAATTAGAAGTGTGCACTATCGAATTCTTTTCATGTGCAGTCATAAAGAATATACGATAGAAATATAACATTTAAAGAAATAGAAAGGAATATATAGGATGCGATCCGCTTCACGCTGCAAATGCTTTGAAACACGCACGCACGCATGCACGCATACACATTCTTTGATTGGTCAATTCGTAAATTTCTTTCATTTGATTGGTCAATGAAGCATTTGCACTGTCGAGTAGATCCATAATCTTTCATTGCAAAAATACACTTACCAACTACTCGAAATTGCTACCCCAGGCGTAGAGATCCCCTTTGTCCGTAAGCGCCAGAGTGTGGCTTATTCCGCAAGCTATCTTGACTGAAAAAGTATCGATTGCTTAATAATCTCATATGGTTTTATCGTTTAAGATCCCCCTTGGAATATAAATTACTCTTACAAAAAAAATCTTCAATTTAGGATGTTAACACTCAAATTTAGGTGTTTATCATCAAAATTCAATGTTGACAGTCAATATTGGGTGTACGTTGAAGTTTGATCGTCAACATTGGGTATCAGTTGAGGATTGAGCATTATTGTTGGATCTCTGTTGAGTGACCATGAATATTGTCTGGTGTCTTGGTATAGACACTCAATATTGAGCGTCAGTTAAGTGTTGAGCATCAATGTTGAGTGTCAGTTGGGTGAGACCATTAAATTCGATGAATAGTTTGAAGTATATATCATACTAAACACCGAATTTGATGGTAACACCCAATCGCAGTTTATTCATGACACTCAATAGATGAGTGTAAATCTTAAACGACTTAGTAACCTTCGAGCGTCATTTTCAAAATTGAATGTAAGTGTCACTTGAATGTTAATCTTTATGATTGAGAATTAACACTCAAATGTTAAATATAGATGCGCCGCCAGATTTATTTATGAAAGAAATATATTTTAATACTATATGCATGAAACATTGTTTTGACAAATTTTATTTAGACTGCGTTTGGAAACATCATTCGAGTGCCCCTATGTATCATTTTATTCTTGTTGTCCAATGCAAAACAAGGATAATATAAAACACAGGGACATCTAGATGATGTATTCTGAATCACTGTTAACCATCTGCTTTTCACTTCCCAATAAACGTGGAAAGATATGGAGCTACTCAATTGAGTGGAGCAACTATGGCTTAAGCCAATCAGAACGCGCTATTTAATTATTACAACTCCCTTTCTTGTTCCATCATCTAATTAGAGCGCGTCATTTAGCTTTGACAGCACGCCTAAGCCACGCCCATGGCGCCAAGAGAGGCGCAGTTTGTTTTAATAAGCCAAAACTTCTCACTAACTACTTGCGTATATTGTAACATCAAATTTGAAGATACGAGATCTGGCTATTAAATGACGAGACTGCGCGCGCAGAAGGCGTCCTAGAGGGGTAGAGTGGGAAACGAATGCAGCGTTGGATAGCTGGAAGTGTCTACTATTCCAGTACGAAAACACGTTTTTGTCGAGTAGTAGTATTTTTTCTATAGAGGTTAGAAACGAACTTGTTTTTTTCTCGTGCCAATAACAATGTGTGACGAAAAACACGAGCAACGGATCAATGTAAAATTTCTCGTTAAATTAAAAAAAACTCCGACTGAGTGCTATAAGTTGTTGAAAGAGGCCTATGGCGAGAATTCTCTATCTCGTGCGCGTGTTTTCGAATGATATAAACGGTTTCTGAAGGCCGAGAGAGCACCGAAGATGACCAATGTCCAGGTCGACCTGTCTCTGTTTCAACTCCGCAAACAGTGACCAAAATCAATGAAATTGTGCGCGGAGATCGTCGTATGAGCATTCGGATGATTGCTGAGACTGTAAACGCCGATAAAGAAACTGTCAGAAAAATTTTACATGACGAATTAAACATGAAGAAAGTCTGTGCGAAGTTGGTCCCAAAAAATTTGACCCCTGACCAAAAGCTCGTCCGTCAACAGATCTGCTCAGATTTTC